TGGAACATATCTTGAAAGCTGTGATCTTAAATACAGTTCCAAGTCGTTGGATGTTTCGATATGGGATATCGAATAAATCCGGAAAAGACTTGCACATAGTATGTATGCTTAGTAGATAAGAATGTTGCATTTCATCAACATTAGCGTGTGACGCATATACATATATGTGGGTGCTTGTTAGAGAACAAGTTCACTGAACATGACCGTATGTAAATTCTTAATGAAAGTTTATCATGTCGAATAAGAATTTTCATGTTACAATAGTACATGATTAATCCTTAGACTTGAGGCACAATGGTAACTTTGTGCATATTATATTTTACTTTGATGTTCGGCACGTGTTCGATGTTCTTCAAGTAGGTCCAGATTAGCTTTTAGATTATCCGAGTTGGTTTCTCCAGTAAAATGTTGAATTCGGTAAGTGGGTTCGCCGAGTTCGACTGGGACTACAGCTTCCGATCCATAAGTGAGTGAGAACGGAGTCTCGCCGGTGGAAGTGCGGGTTGTTGTTCGGTAAGCCCATAAGACATGCGGCAATTCTTCGGGCCAGGCCCCTTTGGCAGCATCAAGTCGGGCTTGAGTCCATTCTTCATAAGTTTATTAACAGCTTCAACTTGACCGTTAGACTGCGGATGGTGAGGCGAAGAGAAAAAATGTTTGATATTATATTCTTCGCAAAGGGACTCAAGCTGCTTGCCTTCAAATTGTTTACCGTTGTCCGTAATGATGGAGTTCGGCACTCCGAAGCGGCAAATGATAGATTTCCACACAAAGTCAACAACTTTATGTTCGGTGATTGTATCTAACGGTTCGGCTTCAGCCCATTTGGTAAAATAATCAACTGCCACAATGGCAAATCGGACACCTCCTTTTCCAGTTGGTAGGGGACCTATAAGGTCAATCCCCCATTTGGCGAAAGGCCATGGATTGTAAATTGATTTGAGTTCTTCAGGGGATTGATGAATGTTAGGTGCAAACAATTGGCACTTTGGGCATTTCCGGACCCATGTGGCGGCATCGGCTTTTAACGTGGGCCAATAATAACCTTGTCGCAAAATTTTATAAGACAAGGCTTGTGCACCGGGGTGACTTCCGCAAATTCCTTCATGAACTTCTTTAAGGATGTACTGTGAGTCAGATTCACTCAAGCATTTTAAGAGTGGGACGGAGTATCCTCTTTTGAACAAAACTCCGTTGTCCAGTGTATATCGTGCTGCTCGAATCTGGAGTGTCCGGGCTTCCCTAGGATTTGCAGGTAAGGCCCCGGTTTCCAAATACTGAATGATAGGATCCATCCACGTCGGAGATTTTTGCGTTGTCGTGGGGTCTACAACTGCGACTTCGGGAAGAAAGGTTGACGATTGCTCTTGTTGTCTGACTTGGACATACTCCATGCTCTCCATCCCGGTACTTGAGGCTAAACGAGATAGAGCATCTGCTTGGACATTGAGAGTTCGTGGAATATGCTCTACCTCAGCAGAGAACTTTGGTAACTTCTTTTTTGCCAGAGACAAATATGGTGTTAACCGAGGTTCTTTAACTTCGTATGAGCCATTAATCTGATTGACGAGGAGCTGAGAGTCTGAGAAGACTTTTAGTTGCTTCATGTTCATGGATTCGGCCAAATTCAATCCGGATAGTAAGGCTTCGTATTCGGCTTCATTGTTGGTTGCAGGGAAGAGGAATTTTACCGAATGGCAAAACAATCGATTTTTTATATGTTGAATTTGTATAAGATTGAATGTAATTGAAAGAAAAAAGACTTGAGGCAGGAAGAAGAAGAGAGCACAGCCTCTCTTTTCGTACAGAAAAGGAAACATATGAAAAGCCCCTCAGACCTATCTGTCTGACGTCCATCATTGGGGTTTATATATATATTTTTGGTGGGCCCTTTATTATTACAAGCGGTGTTATTTGTGGGCCCTAAAATATAATATATATCCACGTGTAATATTTTAACAGGCGAGGCCAAAATTGGGTATTAACAGGCGTGAAATAATGATTTATTCCATAAACAATTGCTGTTAATCAGAAATAAATAAGAGCGATTTTAGGAAGTTATGAATATTTCAAAGAAATATATCTATATTTTAAAGAAAAACAAATAAATCTATATTTTAAAGAAAAACAAATATTTGTACGAATTTATGTAGCTTCCAAAAAATTCTCCTTATTGTACCGAAATCCAAAAAATATCATTACCATTTTTATCGGTTATTTCAAAACCAACTGAGTTATAGAGTTTTTAAATATATTTATTAAAATAACATTGAGGGTGTATAGATATATATATATATATATATATGAATATTTGTACCTTTAAATTAATATGAAAAAGAACGTTTGGTAAGTAAATTAATGCTTGTTTGTACAAATATTTGTATAGATAAATACGGATATTTGTACCTCTAAATTAATATAAAAAAGGAAATTATGTGCAATTAATGCTTGTTTTGTTAAATTACTATTTATAGACAGTAATTAATATTTTTTGGTGGAAAATAGTTTCTAAAAATTAATTAAGTTAATCCTTATTATATATTTATAGATTCAAGTGGAGGGTAAAATTATAAATTACATTGTGGTGAGTCAAGTGGTAAAATATATAATATAAGCCATGTTTTAATACAAATAGCGTAATGCGTCGCGTTTTGGTCTTTATACTGCGTAGCGTAAATAGCGTTGCGTGTTGCGTGTTGCGTAAGCTATTTGGGTATACTTTTTTTTTATAGAAATATTACAAGTATATTCGCATATAATAAAAAAATGAATTGTTGATTACCAAAACTTATCATATTATTTGAATGACTTCAAAATTAACATCTAAGGATTAATTCGAAAAAATGTTTAATGAAAATATCATCACAATATAAATGTTTAATAATAAATCGAATATACTAAAAAGTAAAAACAAACATCGAAAATATAATGAGGTAAGTCATAGTATAATTTTAAGTATATGCGTTTTAATTATTATTTTTTATTTGACTACAACTTAACTCTAACCATATGAACTTTTATCTTTATTTAAATGTCAAATATCGAAAAATAAAATGATATAACAAAAATAGACAAAGAAATATTGCATTATTCAACTTACGACTTTGCATTTTTAAACTTTTAATTTGAACTCATTATTAAAATTTTTAGTTTTTAATAGTCATTTGTAAATATGACTCTGATCCCTTTAAAATACGGTTTTTGAATATTTTATTGTTCAAATGTCATTGCAGAAATACAATGTAGCACACAGTAGCGTGAAATAGTGCAAAATAGCGTAAGAAAGCATATCGTTTTAACATTTCGCGTAAGCTTTTCGAGAAAAACGCTAAATATATAAGGGTACGTCGCGTTTTTCTGAAGAAAAAAAAAGCTATATAGCAAACAATAGCGAGCTATTTAAAACAATGAGTACAAGTAAGCAGCAAGAAAAGAAAAAAAAAA